ACGGTTGACTAAAATGCTCGTCGACTTGAAAAATTTGAAAAATTCCGAGATTTTTAATGAGAAATTTGTTTTCCATCCTTTTCACTCTCTTTTTTTCCTTACGTTTTGCTAGACTCATGAAAACTTACGACAATTTATTGGTATTTGATCTTTTCGTAACAAATTTAATCTCACTAATTTCCGTTATATTTCTATAATATAGTACAAACCTTACCGAATCCTATTCACCATTATTTAAATTTGATCGGTAGGAAAAATAACAATAAAATCAGCGAAGCATACCAGTAGGACAACCCAGCTTTCGACCACCACGACCAAATCCAACAACAACAGTTCCATGGAAATAATATGGATAAGGATCTGGAAAAAACAAATATAAGGTCTTTCATTGGGTGCATACGAAATCAACAAGTATCTTAAACAAGAATGTTATAAGAGAATGTGGAAATTTATGGCCAAGTAAGTAAACAACAAACAATAAAATGTATGGAAACAATGGGATCGAGATTCATTCGAGATCATATTAAGATGGTAATTTGGATTGTCATCTGGAAAATATAAAATTTATCCTCTGCACTTATAATTAGCTAAAATCATCGAATCTAGACAACATAACTACAGAAATCCATGTACAATAATGGATTTTTACTTACACAATACATATTTCTCCTGTCTTGTATAAACCAAACTGTCATATAACAACATAAGACAGCTAGGTTAAAGTTGGAATTTTCGAAACCTACCATCAGTAGGAAGCCCGTCATCTGCATCTGGATCATTCATAATCATTCTGGAATGCCTGTTCGTCTGATTCGGAATCATTCCTGATCTGTGTTTCCTTTTGCAAATACTATCTTGAATAATACCAGTCCTAAAAACGCCTCTTCTCTTAAAATAAAAACAAACAAACAAACAAACGGGTTATATTAAAGATCATAGACCGACAAAGTAATACCTAACGCTTTCTAGCACTCGTAATTCCCAGTATCGGATGTGCAAACCGTCTTCCACTGTTACCACTAGTAAAGTTATATCAAAATAAAATTAGTGCGAAAGTACCGCGAAACTTCGCATATTCAACAAATATCCTGTTGTCATTCGACTAGAACTCAGTCTTCGCCACAGACACTCATTGGCGTCGGGAAGAAACACGCATGTCCCAACGAGGGGTCTCTCATGCTAGCGGTGGCTTATGCCGCCAGCAGGGTCTTCCATGCCAGGAAAGTCTCAGCTGAAGATAAAGTTATACCAAAAAAGGATTATATGAAGATCATAGACCGACAAAGTGATACCTAACGTATGTCCATGAGTAGTCCCTGGAACCATCTTAGGAGAAGGACAACTCTAAATGGAAATCTGGGTAGATGGAGCTCGCTTAGCCCTGCAAGGCCATTTATGTGAAAGTAGGAGACTCTACCAAAACCTACGTCCTTAGAACTTCACTGCCACTGTCCAAGCTCGCTAAGCCTTGGCAAATGAACCTTAGGAGTAAAGGGTGAGGTCAATTTCGTGCACGCTGTGCCTTCCCTAAAAAATCCACTATGCAGGTGGAAGAATATCCCACATTTATAGCGTTTGCAACAAGCATGAGAGAGAGAGAGCCCTTTCCATATTTTCGTTCGCGAAGCCTAACCATGATAACTGAGTATCGCATACGTCTCACACACGGAAATACTCACGAAAATTCAAAATCCAGTAAAGATCATTTAGTACCTGAATTTAAAACTAAAAATACCTCATTCGATATGAAATTTAGTTATTCCCTATATTCAACCAAGCAAAAAAAGACGTGACACTTAGCTCTTACCCAATATACAATTTTCACACAAGCTTGATCAAAATGGCACAACAACCTGTCGTTGTTGCGTAACGAAACTTTGCGGGAGTCGAAACATTGAGACTTTTATTTCATCAGCTTTTTTGGCTCTTCCTCGGAAGATTCATTTGATGGCTAGGCGCAATTGTATTATTGTTTCCGACTAATCGCCTCATTCCTCGCACAATCCATCATTGCCTTCATTTATGTTTGTTTTCCAGTCTGGTAAAGAAAAATTGCTTCGGTAGAATGTTGTTAAAAAGAAGGGTTTGAATTTACGCCCACCTTCTTTCTTATCTCCTATCATTATGCTTATTATTTTCTCTGATGCGATGAATTGCCTGGTATTCTTTGAATCGATGTTTCCCTGGATAATCATTTCCGGAATGATTGTCCAGTAAATCATTGATTTCTTTTATGTTGGTAATAGTTCGTAAAATGAAAAGTGATTCATGAATTTACTCGTAGGTCTCCGATGTATTTATATATTCATGTGTATTTGTTGGTGTATGAAATGTTTTAAAGCTAATTTATTGATTTTATTGTAGGACAGCTATTATGATCAGTGAAGATGATAGCAATAATTACTTGAGTAAGTACTCCCAGGATGGTGGTACGTGTCAGGCTGAAGGTAGCACAACTGAGGTAGATTTTTAAAATGAAATTTCTATTTTTGTATATGAAGCAAAAAGTCATCTGTAATCTGCGCTACTAGATGGATTTTACGATATAATCTGCTAATTGTCACAAGCCTTTTCCGGATTTTTTTGTCAAATGCACAGTTGCTCCTGAAGTGGGGTAGTGAAGTTTGCTAAATAGTCCAAGTGGTACTTAGTCATTTTTTGTATGTCTGTATGTAGATCGGAAATCAGAGAAAGGTCTTAACTGTCTAAATTCGTGACCGTGAAGCTTGTTTTTGAATGACAATGCTAAATCGTTCGAACGAGGGTGAGATAATAATAGAGATAAGGATTGAGCAAGGGGTAATGTGACGGTGATTAACTCCGGTAACAGAAATAGAATAAATGACATATATATATATATATGTATGTGTATATATGTATATATATGTATACATATATACATGTATATATACGTATATATATATATATATATATATATGTATATATAATAAAGTAGAGTGC